TCACGGGTAGCATGCCAGGCTTTGCCATGCGGGCGAGATACTCTTGGTAGTTTGTTGGGCTCTCAGAGAGGGACGAAGGAAAATAATAATAATAGTAATAATAATAATAATAATAATAATAATATAATAAAGAAGCAGTTAAGTAGCTTGCCCTGGTCACAGAGCCAGTGACACCAGATGTCAGGTGTCAGATAAAGGTGGCCCACACTTTCTCCTTTTTCGGTTGTATTTTTGTTTGGGGATAGGGTGGGAGGTTGGATATTTTGGGCCATACCTGGCCATTGTCCAGGGGTTACTCCTGGCTCTGCGCTCAAGAATTACTCCTCAGAGTGCTCAGGGGACCATCTGGGATGCCGGGGATCGAACCTGGGACAGCTGCGCGCCAAAAACCCTACCTGCTGTACGATCTTCCTCCCCCGTGCCCCCTGCCTCTTTCTCGGTTCTTCCCTTCTCCTCCCTGCTGCCTTTGCTCTGGTCAAATGAGGTCATAGAGTTCTGTGCATTTGTTTATCTTTTTATCTTTAATTGTTGATAAGAAATGTCATGACTGGATGTTCCTGACTAGTTTGGTGGCTTTGAATCTGGCTTTTGGGGCCCTATTTGGGGACGGGATGAAGTGGGAATGGGCTCTGAAATTAGGATGGTCTGGGTGTCAGCCCATGAGTTGCAACTATTGACTGTGTGACTTCTGAGAGGTTACTTAACATCTTTGATCTTCACGTAGAGCTTTATGAGGATGGAATAAGATCACTGGCCATTCTCCTTTCCTTCCTCTGTTGCAGTGAACTGAGATTTGCTTGAGGGTCCAGGGAGTGTGTGGTGCTGCCTGGGGGGCTGGGCTGTGGTCAGAAACGGTAGCAGTTCCTCTGCTTCTGTGAGCCCCGTTTTCATTCTACCCTCAGCAGAGCTCTGGATGGACTCCAGTCCTATCTGCCTTGTCATTTTCTGATTCGTCACATTTAGGTCAGGACAAGCCTGTGCCTGGCAGGCCAGCGTTGTGGCAGGAGGATACTCCTTGAGAGCCAGTAGCTTCCTCCCTGGGGGTGTTCTGACCACCCCCTTCCCTCACCACCACCACCCACACCCCCAGCCCCGGGCTCTGCCCAAAAGTAGGAATACGAGTTTGTCTGCACTGCAGATGACAGTGAGGAGAACCAAGTCCAGGGGAGTTATAGTCACCATCCTTCTGGCCGGAAACTGCCCTTATTTCAAAGAGGGAGTTACCATGGACAGGGAGTCCCTGCCCCTCGCTGGGGAGAGTGGCGCAGGGGAGGGGAGGCACTAACAGAGATGCAGAGGGGTCAGGGGCAGCTCCTGGTGAGCGGAAGGAAGGTGGACAGAAAGCCCCTGGAACTGCTCCCCTGCTCCTCTTTCGGCTTTCCTGCACCAGCACCCGGGGAGTGAGCAGTGGTGCCAGCCCCTCGGGGTGAGGAGGCTCGTAAAAGGAGTCAGTATCCTGTAATTTCAGGCCAAGTTGCACTGGGCTGGTTCTTGAAGCCAGGGCGGCAAGGCAGATGCTCTCGAGAGTGAACAACACTGGGTCAGCAAGTGCCCCAGCTGGTCAGAAAGGATCCTGGAAGCCTGTAGGGGAATACAGCCACCTGTGCTCAGGATGTATTCTTGGCTCTGCACTCCTTGAGCACTCCTGGTGGTGTTGCTTGGGGGAACCATGTGTGGAGCTGGGATCAAACCGGGCTTGGCCATGTGCAAGGCAAACGCCTGAATTCCCTTCACTGTCTCTTGACCAACCTTTCTTTCCTTTTTCTTCATTCATGGACGTGCTTAGATCTCTGCACTTTCCTAGAGGTGTGATGGAGACCCTCTGTTTCATCCTTAAAGACACTTTTAGCTTCCACGTCATGGAGAGTTCTGCCTACATTTTCCTCTATGTACCTTATGGATTCATGTCTGATATTGAAGTCTTTACTCAACTTTGATCTGACTTTTGTGCGTGGCATTAGACAGAGGTCAGAGTTCATTTTTTTTTTTTTGCAGGTAGCTATCCAGTTTTCTCAGCACCACTTTTTGAAGAGGCTTTCTTTGTTCCACTTCACATTTCTTGCTCCTTTGTCAAAGACTAAGTATGATGGAGACCCTCTGACCTGGAGCCAAGGTCCCATCGCACCCCATAACTGGGTCAGGGAGGGAGAAGGTGCAGGGGTTAAGCTGCTTGCCTTGTATGCTACCGACCCCAACTCAAATCCATCGTACCTGTGTTCCTCGGTAATAACTGCCTGTGTGATCTCAACTCCACTACCCTTCCCTACCCCACCTCACCCCCCTAAAAAAGTAGGTGTGCTGTTGCTACTGTTGGCTCCTTCTAGAAATGGGGGAGAGGTGATGGGGTGAGAGCATGAAAGACAATATCTCACTAGTCTGCTTTCCTTAGGGGGGAAAAAAGTTCAAGAGATTCCAGCCATTTCTTTTTTCTGGCCCTTGGCCTGACAAGTTCATTGTCACTGGGCTATTGTTTCCTGGGGCTCTTGGACCTCCAGCGCCCTCTCTAGGCCTCATGTGGGATTGCCTCAGGCCTTGCCTCTCACCCTGGCAGGGTGGAGGTGGCACCGAGGTGGGTTCCCCTTTCTTCACAGGCTGCAGTGAGAGCCGAGACAGCTACTCCTGCTGCCAGCCCATAGGTTGAATGACCTTTCTGGCTGGAGCATCTTCTCTTTCAGTATCAGTTGAGGTGGGTGGGTGGGGGGATGGCTGGCACCCTGTTCATGAGGAAGGGGGCAACGAGAGTGCTTCTGTGCTAAAGACTTTGAGAAGAAAGGGGCGGGATCCTTGCTGGTTGGTGGTGGCTTCCACCCTTCATGCTGGTGAGCCCCAAGATGCACTCTGAGTCTGCCATTGAAACTTGAGGTTCACTAGAGAAGGTTCACTCTAGGTTCACATTTTATCTCTTATAAACAGGGTACCCAGGGAGATGGCGCAAAGGGCTGGAGGATGTGCTTTTGCATGAAATGAGCCCTGGGTTCTGTCCTCAGATCATCATGGTCCCTCAGCACTCCAGAGAGATGCCTCTGAGGACTATGGAGGGGGGCAAGGGGGTGGCTGCAAAATAAAGCAAGAGTTAGGAATGGAAAGATGGGTCCAGAAGAACTAGAACAAGCCCGAGTTCAGTGGAGATGGAAATGGCCCAGGAGCCGGGGTCTCCTGGGGTCCTCCTCTGCAGGGTGTGCTCAGGAGCTCATTTATTATTCACCTAGGAGCTGACCACAGCTGAGGACTTAGACGCAGCTGCCCAGGTGCACACGGTGTGGGTACGACCTCACTAACCCTTGAACCCAGGTTCACTCCAAAGCCATCACCTTTAACCTGGAAGCCATAAAATCTCCCCAGAAGTGCTCCCGGGAACAGAGTCCTTGAACCTAGCTTCAATTTCAGGGGAAATTGGATTAAGATAAGCATGGAGGAAAGGAGAACCATCTGGGCAGTGGACACCTTCAAAAAGCTAGAAAGGAAATACAGCTGTGGAACCCAGCTTGCTGTTGCTCAGCTGCACAGTGGGGTAGAGATGCTATTCTCTGCCCCCCCTAGCCCCCACGATACCTAGAGTGCCTCTGCATGTTCCTGGTGGGTACATGCTCCCCCTGTTCATCGCATAAACAAACACAGGAGCCAAGACTTCTCTCAACAGCCACGAGCCTCTGAGACCAAGGACCAGGTCTTAGAAATTCTTAGATGCTCTGTAATGCCCAGTGCTTAATAAATAACACCCCCCTCAACTGATGCATTCAGATGGATGGCACAGAAAGAGTGAGGAGAAGTGAAGAAACTCCAGGAATTTGGAATAAAAGCATTGTGCATCAAATAAAGATGTTTTGTTTACCACTGGGTTATGTATCAAGCAGCAGTTGCAGTGAACTATATGGTAGACCTAGTTTTGTGTCAGAGTCCAGATGCATGTAAGCACATTGGAAATTCAAGCGGGGAAATCACGAACAGTGACTCAAGGTACCATTCCTGCTTTGGCGCTATCCCAAGTGGAGCCCTGGGTTGGCACGGGCAAGACAGACCATGCTTTGTTTTGCTCCTGTGTACCCTAGACTTTGGTTCAAGGTTGATCTTAATAGCTGTTGAATTACAAGACAAGTAAATGATCTATATGAAATTAAAAATGCATTCCCTCCACACTCCACGTAGCTTTGCTGGTAAAGAGCACTTTGAAAAATCTTGCCGCTTTTTAGTTCCTTGATTTTGAACCTGGGAAGAGTTCAAGTTCACACTTTCGCCTCGGTCTGCTAGAGGTTCCATCCACCTACAAAGTCCTGATCCCCAAACCCCACTCTAAACCCCCATAGCTCGCGCTGCCTTCCCCTTGGCTAACCTCAGTTCTTGGTGTCAGAATGATGCTGAGTTTTTTGCTCTGTGTATTCCTTATCACTTTTCCTATTCGACAAACAAGTGAAACCATCTGGCATTTGTCTTTCTTCTGACGCAGTTTCACTTAGAAAATCTTACTTTGTAGGACCACACCCAGTTGGTATTCATTCATGGGGGGCTCAGGACCATGCTTGCTGGACTTGGTGGTGCTCAGGGAACAAGTTGGGCCAGGGATTGAACCCAGAACCTCGCACACATCAGGCCTATTCCCTGCCACGGGAGCTCTCTCCCATGCCACCCCCCAACCATCTGTCAATGCACCTTTTTTTTTTTTTTTTTTTTTTTGCAGCGTCTGCAGAAACTCAGCCAGTGTCCCGGCTCGGATGGGCGTGTGTAAGAACCACAGCTTAGAGATCACTTTTCTCTAAGACTGGCCTCAACCTGGCCCTGTTGTCCTTCCCACCCTGCCTTCCCACTCTGACGTGACCCCACAATTACAGCCAAAAGGAGACCTGCAGAAACTTGTGGATGGGAACCCACAGGGTTACTGTGGGGTCAGGAGCTGTTCCAGGGTTTTCGCGGCCAACTTCCTCCAGCACTCAGCCCAGGAGTTTTCAGTCAAAGCTGTCCTTTCTTTTCAGGTGTCAGCAGGATTTGTCTTTTTTAAAAAGAAAGCCCTTGGACCGGAAGACAGTGCCTGGGGGAAGCCCTGTCTGTGAGCGGTCAGAACCTTCTGGTCCAGCGGAGAAGCTGCCCCCTTACCTGGACTTATGACCCGCGGCTTCGCGCCCAGCCTACCCAGCGAGTTCCACAAGATGGGCTCCTTCCGCAGGCCCCGACCTCGCTTCATGAGCTCCCCAGTGCTCAGCGATCTCCCCCGATTCCAGGCAGCCCGGCAGGCTTTGCAGCTGAGCTCCAACTCCGCCTGGAACAGGTGAGAGAGGAACACTTGGAGGGCTGTCAGGGGCCCGGCCGAGCTCCTGTACCTTCTGAGATCTCAGGCTCAGTCATAATTACAGGGGCAGTTGATGAAGAGAGTGAGTTCCTACATAGAACTTTGTCCTTCTTGTAGTAGAGGGGAAATGCGGGGATAGGAGTGGGGGGCGGGTGGGAGTGAGCCCCCAGGGCTATAGCATCTGTTAATCAGGCTGGGACAGTTGAATGGGAATATAACGATTAGTTTTCTTGCTCACTAGCCACACCCCAGACTTACAAGGCACCCCAGGGTGGGGCCTTATAAATAACATTAAGCACCTTGGGGGAAGGTAAGATGTGAGTCTGAAAGTTCACTATGATCCTGCATAAATCAGGGATTATCATCTGTCCTTTGGAACCCCGGAGCTGCCCTAAATCAAGCCTAGCTGATGTTTTATACACCACTGTCGTAAATTAGATTTAGTTCACATGTGGGGTGTGTGTGTGCGTGTGTGTGTGTGTATGCGTGCTCGTGTGCGTGCGTGCATACGTGCGTGTGTGTATGTGCATGCATGTGTGCGTATGTGTGAGCGTGTGTGTGTGCATGCGTGCATACGTTCGTGCGTGTGTATATGTGTGCGTGTGTATGTGGGTGCGTGTATGCGTACGTGTGAGTGTGCATGTGTGCTTACGTGTGAGCGTGCATGTGTGCGTGTGTGTTATGTGTGTGCGTGTGTGTGTGGTGAAGGAAGTGTACACCTGACTGTGCTCAGGGATCACTTCTCCTCAGGGTGCTGGTGGACTGTGCGTGGTACTGGGGATTGTACTCAGGTCAGCTGTGTGAAGGTGAGTGTTCTACACGCTGTACCATCTCTCCAGCCTCAGGCCTACGTTTTGTGCCCCATGCATGGAGTAGAGGTGAATTTGATGCAGTTTTGCACACCTGTGGCTACTGTGTTTTTTTTTCTTTTTCACATTAGTGCAGTGTCTGGTTACATTAAAATGCATCATTATCTTAAAGCATTCATGAATTCATTGGGTCGTTTTGGACTTTATGAGTGTGAGCGAATTGATACAATCTTTATGGAGAGAAGGCTCTAAAAGGTTTTGATGTCAAATGGATCCTTGTGCTTTAAAAAAAAACTAGGGCTTTTGATGAAAACAAGAGTGTAATTCCCCCCCCCCCCCAAAAGAATGCTATCAAGGGGCTGGAGCAATAGCACAGAGTGTAGGGCATTTGCCTTGCACGCGGCCAACCCAGGTTTGATTCCCAGCATTCCATATGTTCCCCCGAGCACCGTCAGGAATAATTCCTGAGTGCATGAGCCAGGAGTAACCCCTGAGTATCGCCGGGTGTGACTCAAAAAGAAAAAAAAAGTTTAAAAAAAAAAGAGAGAGACTGCTATCAGGTGTGGGAGAGGTAGTACAGCAGGTAGGGTACTTGTATGCAGTCAACCAGGTTCAATCCCTAACATCGCATATGGTCCACTGAGCCCTGCCAGGAACTATTCCTGAACACAGGCCTGGCTGTAATAATTCCTGAGTAATTCCTGAGCATTGCTGGGTGTGGCCCCCAAACCAAAGAAAAACAAAAATGATTTGGGCTGGGCTTCTAGACACGGCGGAGTGAGGACTTGGCTGTGTCTCCCCAAGGGACTCACCTGCGAGGCAGGCTTTCATGAAATTATTCCAAGGACATGATTAAAAAGGCAAGGAATCGTCATTTCCTAGGAGCTTCGGACGTGCAATCCACCTGTGAAGACAGGGGCCTGGGGGCTGGGAAGCCGTTCTCTAGGCACAGACCGGCTCCGGTCACTGCAAACGCCATTTTTGAGTCTTTGTGGCCAGGGCCATTCAGTTTCCTGAGGCTGCTCCCGCCTGCCTGGTCTTTGTTTTTGCCGCTCTCCAGCTGGGCTGCTCTGAAGCCAGAGAGGAAGGCCTTCGAGAAAGTGTGTGTAGGATGGGGGTGGGGGGTGGGGGAAGGCACCGCTTTCGGGTTCTTTCTTCTTCCTTCCTCCCCAAGGACCCTGGGAAGGAAGTGATGGATTCCAGGGATGGAAATCGTGGCTGTGTTTGTGCCACGGGTTTCCTGGCCCTCCCAGCCGCCTTCAGCCCCGAGCTGCTTGTTGAGATGTCCCCGGGAGGCAGATCCTCTAACCAGGGGTCATTTCTATTTCCCCACAGCGTCCAGACTGCCGTGATCAACGTTTTTAAAGGCGGTGGCTTGCAAAGCAATGAGCTGTATGCCCTGAATGAAAATATCAGGTAGGTGACTGGTGGGATGGGGGGGCCTGTTTCCCCTTCTGGGCCTGAGCTGGTGATACCCACCCCCCACCCCAGGAGCCTTATCTCCAAGCTGTTCCTTTTCTTTCTTCTCCCCCCCCCCCCCTTAGTTCCTCTTGCTTCTTTTGGTTTTGTTTTTGTTGGCTTTGAGGTTGTTCTTACTGCAAAGTTCCAAGGCCTTCTTCTGTGGAGACGTTCTGCACACAGAGAGTAGGAGGTGTTGGGGGGAAGAGGGGCATGCAGAGAGTAGAGAATTGACAGAGATGGGTCTTGTCATCTACTTGTGAACAGTATTGTACCCTAATTAATGAGGAGGCACCGTTTTTATAAGATAAGATGGCTTAAGTAGTTGGAGCCAGACTGCTGTATAGGAATTTGTTTTCCCTTTGCTAATTGACTCCCTAACTTCTTCTTCTTCTTTTTTTTTTTCTTTTTGGGTTACACCCAGCACTGCATAGAGGTTACTCCTGGCTCATGCATTCAGGAATTACTCCTGGCAGTGCTCGGGGGACCATATGGGATGCTGGGAATTGAACCCGGGTCAGCTGAGTGCTAGGCAAATGCCCGACCCACTGTGCTATTGCTCCAGCCCTGACTCTTTAACTTATTTGTGCTGTGTTCTTCTCTTCTGTCAAACAGGGACCGGAAGTAACTGTGCCCACTTCCATAGCTTCTGCTGATGTCTGGGTTGTGTTTTATAAATCACAATGGGGTTCTTAGTACTTGTGGCTCTACCGTCAGTGTCACACCTTTGTGATGTGTGGGCAATACAACCCTCCAGAGACATGGTTGTACTGAGTTCATTGCCTTCCAGAATTTTCCTAGGAGAGTAATGTTTGTTTCTCATTTATTGATATACCATTCTGATGGCCAGGTACTAATGGGATACAATGAACACACACAGACATGGACTTGCCCTCCTGGAACTTATAGCCAGTTGGGAATCTAGTCAGTGACACCTGTGAAATGTGAATGAGCACTGAGACAGTGTTAATAACACAGATGTCGTGATGAAAGCAACTCTAAGGATCATTTATGCTTGCCAAGGAGGCCCAGAAAGGTGAATGTAATCTAAGGACCGTGGGAATTCACTATGTGAACTGGCTCTATGTGGTGGAAAATACAAGGACAAATGTCCTGTGATGGCAATGAGAAAGGAACTGAAAGTAGACCCAGGTGCACAAGGTTCTTGGGGTTGGCTGGGGGTGCAGTTGAGTGTTTTGGTGATGTGAGGGCAGAGAGGCAGACAGGGACCCAAAATCCAGTTCTTCTGGGGACTGGATCAAACATCAGGTATTTTCATGCCCTGGTGTTCATTCCTCTCTGGTGTGTGAAGGGCTGAACCAACCCTGGAAGGGGCAGAACAATATACAAGGTCATTATTTGAATCCTGTTTACATTCAGTTAAGGTTCACTGAGGGTGTGTGTATGTGTGTGTGTGTGTGTATGTGTGTGTGTGTGTGTTTCTCAATAGCTTTCTTTCATTGAAATGGTCTGAACTCAGAGGTGAACAGAGTTGTGTTAAATTTCTACCCCTGTACTTGAATTTCACATCATAATTATACAGATATGGAAAGAGACAATAGAGATCAACTAGCTCAAAGTGTCTCCTTACAGAAGTAGAAACTGAGGTCCCAAGAAGTTGAGTGACAGGGGCAAAGCTAGGTCGGCCAAGTCCTGAGTTGTAAGAGCTCAATTTTAGTCCCAAGAACTAAGATCTTGGAGTAAGGGCTCCTGAGCACATAATAGAAATAAAGTAAATAAATCAGTGCCTCAGAACATGTTCATCATTCCTCACTTCAGAATTCCTATCCTAAAATTTCACGTAAAGGCCTTTTTTTGTGGGTAGCTCAGAAAATTTTAACCCATGGCACATTTCACAGGCCCAGCAGCTGTGACGTTAGAAGCCTGCAGGTAGTAAGCAGGACTTTAAGACTTAGGTACTGGGAGGTCAGCCCCACCCTTGTCAAAGGGGTTGCCTCATTGAAAGAAAAGCCATCTTATTTCTCAAAAAGACCAGAAGTTGAGATTCGATGTGACATTTCGTGGCTTTTCAGTGTGGATTAAATAACCTAAACTTTTTGCTTACCCATGGTTATTGGCCAACAAAACACACCTATGGGCACCAGAGCAAAGGACAGTGGGGAGGGCACTTGCCTTGTATGTGGCTGACCCTGGTTGGGTCCCAGACACCACAGATGGTCCCCTAAACCTCATCAGGCATGATTTCTGAGCACAGAGCCACTGAGCACTGAGCCACCTGAGCACTGATGAGTGTATCCCCCCTCAAAAAAAAAAAAGGAAAAGAAAGAGAAAGAAAACCAACAAAAAAACCCACATCTGTTGGCTGAACTTGACAACTGCTTGTTTACACATCAACTGTAGCATGCATAGGGGGGACGTACAATGATGGGGTGGCGAGTCCCACATTCTCTATGTGCAGGGGGAAGGGGAACCAAAGGAAATTGGAGGTACCAGGAAAAACACTTCACGTGCATCAACACACTCCACCCTGCCCAGGGCCTCCTGGAGCGACTATTGGCCTGTTCGTTCAAGGCATGTGATTAAGAATGAAGAGAACTCAGGCTAAGAAAAGCAAAACCAACTTGTCCAAGATCATATAACTATAAACATCAGAGTCCAGAAGTGATCTCCTGCTTGTGCAGGGTTGTTCTGACTTCTCTAACAAATCCCATGCACTGGGTGGCTTAAATAAGAGACAGTTATTCTTCACTGTCCTGGGGAGTGGGAAGTCCATGATGAGGATGTGGGCATCTGTGGTTCTGCTGAGGACTCTCTTCCTGGCCACTGTCTAGCTGTATTGCTGGACCCTCACATGACCACATCTTTGTGCACCCAATGGGGAGAGAGCAAACCCTCTGGTTGTCCTTCTCAGAAGGACCCTAATCCCACGACTGTGACTTTGTCTTCATGCCCTCATCTAAACCTCCCAAAGGCCCCTTCTCCAAGGACCATCACTTTAGCGGTAGGTTTTTGAAAGTCACACTGGTGATGCAGGTTGGTTCAGAGAAACCCAAGTGTTCTTTGTGCTTGGTTGTTGTTTCAGAGAGAGGTTTCAGGTTGGAAGGAAGAGTTGGCTGATGGTTTCAGTGTTTCAGCCATCGTTCCTTTCCCCTGGTCTCCTGGACCTCTCTTTCATCCTCAGCTCTGATTCCAAACACCCTTCCCAGGAGCAGAACACTCCCCTAGTCCTCCTTTCCCTCATTGGAGGTAGGGAGCTGCCTTCTCTCCTAGGCTGTGAGCCGTGTCTTAAGTACTTCTATAAGAAGTACTTAAGGTTGGGATTTGAAACTACTTGCTCAGATGTGAATTGAGACCATCAGAAAGTCAAAGTCAAAATGTTTAAACTCTGTTTTTTTTTGACCCATGTTTCTGTGCCTTCCATCTTCTTCGGCTTTCGTTAAGAGGGTGGTGAGGATGGAGACTCTGGCATGAGTCACATTCCAGAGACTCAGGGAGCAAATGAGACTCTCAACTGCACTCAAGGTCCATAGGTCACACTTGAATAAGGCGATCTGAACCCTCCATGTTCTTATGGGGAAATAAACATAATTGCCCCTTATTTCAGTAATTAAAGGGCCCACATAGACATGCTGCTCTCTGGTTACATTCAAATTGACAGTTGGATGTTGATTTTTTTCTTTTCTTTTTTTCTTTTTCCTTTTGGCCTGTTTATAGAATGGAACCATGAACTAAACAGGCCTGGCCAATAGGGAGAGTGTGAGTGAGGGAAGGGGATAACAGGAATGGAGGTGCAGAAGACTAAGCTATTTCGTATCCTATTTTTCAATCAGTCATGACCATTTCCTGGCAAAAAAAGGTCTGTACCAAGTTCAACAGATGTTTTAATATCTTTAAAAAGTTGCTTTTGGATTCAGAGACTGGGAATCAAAATTAATCTTGCTGTATGACCTAGGGCAACTTTCTTCATTTTTTTTTTAAACTACTGTACATCATGGTGGTTGGGAGAGTTGACAGAATACTAAAAACATATTTGAAAACATTAACACAGGGTCCAATGTGTAATGTAGTCTAGCCATCATTCCTAGTTCTGTGAAAATTCAGCAGTAACAAAGTGATCAGTGTTGGGTGGGGCTAGGCAGGAACTCAGTGCAGTGTGATGGATGGTACTGAATACAGATTTCCCTCTCACTTTGTATGAGGTGCGTTCACTTTGAACGAGAGGGGTGTGGGGGACATACTTCCCCAAGAATGTGCTGGACCTGAAGCTTGGGTGAGGCTGTGTTCTTACCAGGGGAGCCAGCTATTTCTCCTTTCCACAGAGAAAAGAACAAGAGGAAATGAGTCTCTTGGTTCTCCATTCTGTTCAAGCCAAACCGTAATAAACTGTGATGGATTCTCCAGCTCCAGTGTCAAAAACTAAATTAGCTTCTCTGCTTCACCCCAAGCCATCCCTGTCTATGTTTCTCACTGTGGAGTTAGCATGTGTCTGGGAAATGTGAATTCACTGAAACTGTAGGCCATCTAAAGGAAAACCAGAAGGGTGCAAGCTGTATGTAACTGGGTCCTGGTGTAATGTTGGTAATTGTTTATGACTGTGATGTGATTGTTTGTAATGCTGTCGTTACAAACATTTGGCCTGTTCTTCCAAGGTATGTGATTAAAAATGAGTTTGTTTCCATTTTTGCAAGCGTATTTGTGGGGGTGGAGGAAGGTGCCAAATGATGCTTAGGAGAGGGGGCAGTGGTTCCCGGTGTTACTTTGCCATCTGGGCAGGTGGGACAATGCCACAGACTGAGGATGCAATGCTATGCAGGCCCTGTGATGCCAGGAATTGCCACCAAGACCACACCGGCGATGGTCAATCCCAGGTCAGGTGCATGCCAGGCCTATACCCTAACCCCTATTCTCTCCCTGCCCAGAAGGTGAATTTTTTTTTTTTTTTTTTGCTTTTTGGGTCACACCCAGCGATGCACAGGGATTACTCCTGGCTCTGCACT